TGCTCCCAAAATTATATAATGCCATTAAAAAAAATGTATTTGGTTACTACAATGTCTCACTGAGCAGCTCAGCCTCATAGTGATCCTCCTGTTTTAGGCCTCCCCAGCGCTGTGACTGCAGGCGTGCGCCGCCATGCCCAGTCTCGGTGGCCAGCTCAGTGTGCTCGGGGGAGGGGGGGCTGGTGCAGCATGTGATGCCAGAGATTGAACCATGGTCCCTGAGCTTGCCTAACTCAGCTTGCCTAAGCAGGCACTTAAGTCCACTGAGCTATTTTTCTGGCCCCTATAATGACATTTTAAAAACAAAGACTGTGGAGACTGTCCTATATTTTCATAAATAGTAACAATTATCTACAAAAGAGCAAAATATGGACACCAGACTTTTCTTAGCAAAACCAGAGGCAAAGGAATAGTGGAGTTACTTTTCCAAGTTGTGAGGTGTGTAGTAATATTACATATGGAATTCTCTACCCAACATGCAGATGGTCAAGCAGAAGGAAAAACAATGATATTTGGAAAGCTTAAGAGGATTTAATAATGTCACTATTCACAGGCCTTTTTGGATACTACACTCGATCTTAGTCAAAAGCCTGAGAAACATTCTCAGGCCTTTCACCATGAGGAGAAAATGGAAGGGGACACATGATGCACTGGAAAAAGGAGCAAACAGAGGGGTAAAAAAGCAATTTATCAGTCTAAATAATTGTTTATTGCAAATAATAATTTGCTTGAACCATGGTCCCTGAGCTTGCCTAACTCAGCTTGCCTAAGCAGGCATTTAAGTCCACTGAACTATTTTTCTGGCCCCTATAATGACATTTTAAAAACAAAGACTGTGGAGACTGTCCTATATTTTCATAAATAGCAACATGCAGTAGTTTATTTTTTATTTTTTAGTTTTTAGTTTTATTTTTTTTCAAAGTTTTATTGATAAACTGATAGCAATGAGACAGTTTCAAATCAAATCGGAAGTACAGTTTCAACAAATAATACACTGCATATATTCTTCTTAGTGGTTAATT